AAATATAACAATCACCTTTCCAATCCTCATTGTCATCAAAAACAACAACTTCTCCATCAGCCACTACCGCAATAGGACTGCTTTTAGTGCTGACGTCATTCGTTTTATGGGGGTCTAGTATTGGTGAACTGTTCTTAGGGATACCCATAGTATTCGATTCTACTATGGGCTCCCGATCTCCATTCGTGTACGTTGGCGACGTATGTCGAGATATCATCTTTTTAGGTTCACTGTTTATTCTGTGGAGCGATATCTGAAAGAATAGATTACAAATCATTACAATGCCTAATTCAAAAGCCTTAATACTCGTCAGTTGAAGTATTGTTTATCCCATCCTCAACCTGCGGTCTTATCAATTCAATACAAATCGTGGAATGGTTTTTTAACCTTATAAGGTTACGGGTATACCCGTGGGGGGTGCCTCACAAAGGTTTTTGATTATGTTTGTCAATATGAAACACCTTCGTAAGTGAAATTGGATCACAGAATCCTTTGAAGGCGAACGATATAAAAAGCAATTGTAGTAAAATTGTAATTCAGAATCTCACCTCGTTGCTAAGGTTATCTGCCGCGTAATCGACGGTGTCCTTGTTGAGTGACCGCACTTTGTTCCTTAGGTTGTGTTTGTGCGTATTGTTGTGCCTTAACTTTCGCACTGCTTTTGTTCGACTCTGTGAGTATAATTCACGACCCCCTGCTATTTCTATTATCCTGGTAAATAAATTTACAAAAAATTAGAAATTAATCTAAAAAGATCATGGCCCACCAAAGTATAAAAACCACGGCTTGGAGAAAAGACATATGGCTAGATTTATAGAAAAAAAATGTGTATACTTTACAATGGTATGTGTCGCTGTACTCACAGTACAGCGACACATACCATTATATACAGGAAATTATGGAATAAAAAATGTATTTTTATCATTGATTTACAAATAAATGGACGACGGGTCTAATACAAAAACCACGAAAAAAATGTCCCAAGTCAACCTATTCGAAATTTAAATTGTAATGTCATCGCAGTATCGCGCTGTCAGTCGAATAAATGAAGACTAAAGCGGAGTTTGGCGCTCTGTATACGATTTTAGCGCCTTACAAGTGCGGACACTTTTTAGCGCGGACCCGACGTCCATATAATTGTAAGTCAATGATTTTTATATAAAAAATGTATGTTAGTGCAAAATATTTGTGTGTTTTGTATTTATTAACTGCCTCTGTGGCCAAACGGTTACCGGACTGCCACGCAGAGGTCCTAGATGCGATTCCCGGGCCGGGAGAAATATTTGCATGGCTTACATTTATTTCTTTCGTGAGTTTGGGTGTAATTTTTGGTTGTCTATGTGTGTGTCCATGGCACCCGCGACACAGGATTTCCCTAGTACGGGGTTATGTTGAGTGTGTGCGTTATTATTTTTATTTATTGTTGATCACCTAGAGAATGATATCGATCTTATTCCTACTACAATTAGTAGTTCGTGCGCGAGTGTGACGATATTTATTTTGATAGAAAGTCTCAGAAAAACCTAATTAGGCCTTTCATAAAATTAAAAACAAAAAAATAATTTCAAATCTTTATTGCCCTATCACATGTTAACCCAGCAGATTTTCAATATATTTTTTACATAACATAAAAAGTGGCTTATGACTGCATAATTTAAAATTAATGTGGTTTTTGAACGTATGTATGTTTATCCATCAACCGGGTCAGATTATGGGTCATGATCTTTCTGGAAGCACTATGTCTATATAACTTTTTTTGCCCTTACCTAGAATCCCTGAGTTTGTATGTACCTCCTTTTGAGTTGAGTATTATTTTACTATCACGCTCCTCGTCCGAAGACGCATTGTTAAGGTTGTTCATATCACGCCCCTCCAACTCGGAGTTCAGTCTGAAAAGTCATTAGAAACGATATCAAGATTACAATCTACACTATATTTTCCATAGCCTTTTCAAGATCATTCTTATGGAAATATTGTTACACGATCAGGCCCTGTGCTCTCGTTCTTCGCCCGACATCCGTCCAAAAATGGTCCGAAGCAATTACCGTCAAGTAAGTAATATTTGATCAAATTAAAGACGCATTATGCAAATGAAGCTTTATACTTCACATTGTTTCTTAATTTGGTTGAGTATTACTTATTTGACAGTAATAGTTTCGGACGGAGGACGAGACGTAACAGAATTATGCTACAACCAAATTCTATTGAAGCCGTGGTAGCCTAATGGTTTGACGTACTGCCTCTCAAGCAGAGGGTCGAGGGTTCGAATCCCGGCTCGCACCTTTGAGTTTCTCGAAATTTATGTGCCAAATTTAATTTGAAATGTATCATGAGCTTTTCGGTGAAAGAAAACATCGTAATGAAACCTGCACGTTGAAGAAGGTTCACAACGCTCGGAAAACGTGTGAAGTTCCCAACGCGCATTGGGCCAGCGTGGTGTACTATGGCCTTAACCCTCGTCTGAAAGGAGACTCGTGCCCAGCAGTGGGACATATAAATGAGTTGATAATGATGATGAAATTCTATTGATGATTTCCGCAGATACTCGTATAATACTGTGAAAAAAAATCACGTACAATTTCATTGTCGAATTCTATGAACCCGATCAAAGCCCAGAAGCAATAAATATAGAGTAAGTACAAGTTTATTTAGTAAGACAGACTGACACGTATGTACCTATCGTGGTGGTGGAGCATGTTCTTGGGGCGGCACTTGGGGAAGAGCCGGGTGATGCGCTCGCCGACGTCGGAGCCGGGCGTGGAGTCGCCCGCGCCGTCCGCCCGCAGAGCTCCCGCGCTCATCCTGCCCCCCCGTCACCCCACTAATACCGCCTCTGTAATCAATAAATAATATTTTTTAATACAGTTGCTCAAAACGTGGTATTTTTCGCAATACAAATCGTGCCGAAAGTTGGAATTTTCGCACTAGTGCTTTTTACTTTTCCATTTTTTTTAATTTACTGTTGTTTCAAATCTTAAGCACAGAACTAAAGAAGTTGTATATTTATTTAATATTTATGTGCTTTGTGACGTAAGTCATTCGTCATTAAAACTTATATTTATTTACAAATACTATATAATGAACGTATCGAGTGGAGGTCTCTGCCTACCCCTGAATGGGTGACAGGCGAGATTTTTATGTATATATTTGTTTGATGTATTACAGATAAATTGTATCTCACTACCGTGCACGGGTTCCTAAAGAAGTTTAAACAAAAGTGCCAGGACTTCATAATAAGAAAAGTGGTTACAGACCGATATTACAGAAAATAAACAAAAACAGCACGTTAGAACTATATTTCCATAGACTTTTAAATAATGGTTGCAGTGGTTGTATTTCATTATTTTAATTTACTAGCAGAAAATGAGTTTTTTTTAAATACTGTTTTATTTTACTTTCAATGTAGTTTGTTCGCAAATGTATTAAAAAACGTCGTTTGATACACGTGCGGATTTGTCATTTTCACTTGTCTCGCGTCTTGACCCTCGCCTCTGGCTCGGGCCAAGAAGCCTCGAGCCTCGTGAATAATGACTAACTTTCCGCACTCATATCAAAAATAACTATTTCTAAATACGTAATTACAAGATCGGATAAGAAAAATGTTGAAACAATGATGTTATTGGGTGAGTAAAGTATACTAGCAGCATTGATACTTAACAAGAATGTATAATCAGCTGGCCTATCATTGGGCCTATTTATGCAAAGTCGTCAAATCGGACTTTCACATCGTTTAGGACGCGTCCCCATTCTATTGTAACGTTTTATTTATCGTTCGTCGTACTCATTGAATCACTGTCGTGTCTAGCTGTTCCCCATACTATCGGTTCACGCGGTAGCTGCCTAGTCATTTACACGACAGAATCGCTTCAAGCTGCGATTATCTATCGTCAAATTTTTATCACGACGTTTTATTCATCGTCTGACGACTGTCGTTCTCGCTCTTCCCATTATCACGACAGTCTGTCGTCGTAACGTCAAAAAAGTCGTAAACGATAGTTAATCGTGTTGTCCTATGTGTGAACAACCTCATTTAAATATACAAGTCATGACACATTAAATTGCACGACTGTCTGTCGTCACGACATAATGGGAACGCGCCCTAACTGTTGTTATTAAGTTGGAGTTGCGTCATAGTGATTGAAAATATGGCATTGAAATCCTCACCTAGTCTACTCTGCAATGTCCCTTCGGTACATTTTTTTTACTGTAAACTAGACAAGTGCTTCGCAATTATTGCAAGGCATGGTGAAAACAAATAAAGTAAAGCGATAATCGAATGGTGGTAGCTTAATGGTTTCACCTACTGCCTCTCTAGCAGAAGGTCGTAGGTTCGAATCCGGGCTCGCACCTTTGAGTTTCTCGAAATTTATGTGCGAAATTTTATTTGAAATGTATCATGAGCTTTTCGGTGAAGGAAAACATCGTGATGAAAACTGCACGTTGAAGAAGGTTCACAACCCTCGGAAAACTTGTGAAGTCGCCAACCCGCATTGGGCCAGCGTGGCGGACTATGGCCTAAACCCTCGTGCCCAGCAGTGGGACATATAAATGGGTTGATGATGATGATAATCGAATGGTGGCCAAGAAATGGTTATAGAGAAGTGGGATGTCCTGCAGCGATGGATGGATTGGCGTAGATAGATGAGACTCGCACAGTATCATGGTGGATGGCTCTACCGGAGGCCTATACCCAGTAGTGGATGAAGTCGGGCTGTAGATGACGATTATGTTAAGGCAAGGTTTGGTTACATATCGCTAATTTTAAACGATGTGGCTGGCGATGTTATGCGTTTATCTAGTTAATGCCTTTTATTCCACTTTATTTCAGTGTATTCTATCCCATTTGCTGTATCCATCCATCAGGAAGTCTGAAGCAAAACGTTTCGTGCGAATGGGTGGAAAATCAATCAAATAATTGAATGTTTAATATGATTTAAGATCGTCCAGGGAAGTGCTGCCACTTTACCTATCTCTGCCACCAAGCAGTAATGTTAGCATTACTGCGTTCCTGTTTTGAGGGGAAGGGTGCTAGCGAAATTACAGGCACATGGGACTTGTCAACTTATGTCTCAGGGTGACAGGGTGACGGCAGGGTGACTGCAATTTACCACTAGGCCCACTATTTGCTCGTCCCGTCACTTGATATTATAACTAATGTAGTTGTGCTGTAACAATTTCTCTTCTAAGGATAAAGTGTTCAGGATCTTTTTAAAGTCCGAAGGAGAAACGGTGAGGGTGGAACTAAATTGTACATTTCCTGCGCACATTCTCCGAAATGTATCCGATAGAAAACCGACAAGCGAGCCCCTTTTCTGCGGTGATCGAGATCTAAAACATTCGACTTCACAAGAGGGTTGATGGCCAATTAGTCTTTTTGCTTTTCGCTCCACCGAGTTCAATGCATCTAACTCGTAAGTAAAATACGTCTACATAGATGATAATATAAAACATTTTTACAGTGTGGTATTAGCAAGAAGACATGACACAAGGCAGCCCCTTTCACATTGCAATTTTCGTAGCAAGATTGCAAAAGGTGACTGATGTGAGGGAGCGAGGCATCGAGGGCAACGACGTGGTGGCGTGCGCGTGGTACTGCCTGTAACCGCTGCCAAACTACCAGATCGATACCGCATTAGCAAGCAGGCCATGAGCCTAGCGAGCTACATCCACCACAAACAACCATCGATCGGAAACGCATTGTGGACGGATGGTTGAAGCGCGATTTGAATATCTCAATCTCTATATTCATCTTTATTTGCTTGCCACG